GAAGAAGATGGGCATGGATGTTAGCTCAGGGCCAATCTTCCTCAGCGGGGGAAAAAAAAAAAAAGGAGGATTGGCATCAGATGTTAGCTCAGGGCAGATCTTCCTCACACAAAAAAGAAAAAAAAAAAAGAATTCTTCCCTAGAACCTTCAGAGGGAGAATGGCCTTGCTCACACCTTAATTTTTGAACTTCTGTCCTTCAGAACTGTGAGAGAATAAATTTCTGTTGTTTTTAGCCACCAATTTTGTGGTAATTTGTTGTAGCAACTCTAGGAAACTGATACATGTTCTATTCTAACTTCATTCTCTTCCCTCCTGTCTTTTTTGAGAGTTGCATGTTGTCGGAACCAAACTGACAACCAGAGGACAAGGGAACCTATTCATAGGATCCACACAGGTCATCTCCAGGAGTAGAGAGCAGGGTGGAGAAGGTTAAGGAGTGGATCTGGGTGGGAGGTAGGTGGCAAATGGAAGCTATTAGACACAGTTAGAACCAGTATGATTTGCTAATGTATTGGATAGGGGTGTGTGTGGGGGGCAGTGTTGCTTAACGACAAGGAAGTCTCAGTCAAGATTAAGCAACTGAATAGATGTGATGCCATTTACTGAGCGGGGAAACACTAGAAAAGTTCAGTTTTGTACATGGTGAGTTTGAGGTATTTGTGACACAGTTAAGTAGATACGTCAGGGAGGCAAGTAGCTGTCTAAGACTATGGCTTAAAGGAAGATCTGACCTGGAGATAATAATCTGGAATTTGTTGGGGTTATAGATAATATTTAGAGTCATGTAATCAGTAGTCGAATATTACAGAGGCAGAGTCATTAGTCATTACTGGTCTTGGTGGGGGATGGAAGCCAGATAGAGTGATTTGAAGAATGAATGGCATAGGAAGGATCTCTGAAACATACTATTGATTTATAAAACAAAAACAAGTAGCAGACTACTCTAATATAATTCTATTTATATAAAGTTCAGTAACATGCAGAACTAAACAATATTTAGGATAATGATTACCTCTGGGTGAAGGGATGGGAAATAGCGTCAGGGAGGGGCGCATAAAGGACTCCAAAAATATTGGTATATTCATTAAGCTATGTGGTGAATACAAGGGTGTTTTTAAAATAATTATATTTTATATTTTATTATTATTTAAATATGTTACACATGTTCCCAATACCTTTTATGTGAATTTAATCTTTAATGTATTATATTTTTTAAATGGGGCTGCTATGCCCAATAATATGGCAAATAATATCATAAACTAAATATTCTGGATAAAATGTAACAAACATTCTTGGAAATACAAAGTAAAGGAAATCTCCAGCTACCCCACCCAATTCAAAGAAGCTAGAAATCAGGTCCGTAAGCAGACCCTAAAGTTTTGACATTTACCATTGTCAATAACCAGGGATTAGAGACTAGGCGTTTGCCAAAATCAGGTAGGGAGTTTGAATGGAGACTATAAACTATAACTGTATGTATAATATATAACTAATATGGGCTAACAAAGGCTGACTATACTTCAGTGAAATGATAGATCTAAAAAAATCTGCTTACGGGAAGGGGAAACAGGAAACCTTGTCAGTTTTGGCTTGCATTTTGAATGAGAAGAATATCTCCTAAAAATTTGCTATCACAGGCCTGTCCTCACACAAATTTAGGGTTTTAATTGACATTTCTTGCTTGGTACAGGAAATCTGTAGCTGAGAAATTATCAAAGTGATCCCTGGTAATGCCCCTGGGGTAACTAGCGTTTAGCCGAATCTCTCTAATGTGACCTGTCTTCAACCCACTCCTCACAGGAGTCCTACAAATAAATTCTCGTTAAAGACCAGCTCACAATTTTAAATTATAAAACATGAATCTCGATGAGTAAGAGTCAACAGAATCAACAACTAACAGAATTAGATTCCCAGACACTTCAGGAGATGGAATTATTGAAGCACTATAAAATAAATATATTTAAAATTTATTAAAGAAATAAAAGATAAAATAAAAATGAAAAAAGATCAGTATACAATTAGTCTATGAAGAACTAAACACCATTGAATAGAGAAATAGAAATAGTGACCCGGAAGATAGATCTATAGAAATTACCCACAGGAAGCATAATCTCCCTTTTCCATGGGCATATGAACCACTTCTGGCTTTTGAGACCCAAGTAGAAGTCTGCTGAAACTGTTTCAGGGAATTTCTTTGCTTCCTTGCCTCTTTTCTGACATGAGTTCTGACATGGTGAGGAGTTGGAGCAACTGGAACTCTGATATGTTCTCTTGGGAATGCAAAGTGGTACAGTTACTTTGCAAGAAGAGGTTAGCATTTTCTTATGTAAAGTTAAGTACACACGTACATGTAGGAAATGTGAAACTCCAGGGACCCAGGAATCTCATTCCTAGGTAACTGCCCAAGAAAAAGGAAAACTATGTTCACAGAAACCTTTACACGAATATTTATAGGGGCTTTCTTTAAAATTGTCAAAAACTTCAAACAATCCAAATGCCCTTCACTTGGTGAATAAAGAAATTGTGCTACGTTCATGCAGTGGAGTACTTCTCAGATATAAAAAGGAATAAATTACAAAAAACATGCAACAGCATAGATGAATCTCAATTGCATTATGTGAAGTGAAAGAAGCCAGATTCTAAAGGCCTACATACTGTATGATTCTGTTTATATGACATTTTGGAAAAGGCAGAACTCTGGAACAGATAAGTGGTTGCTTGGGGTTAGCAGGAGCAGTTGTCTACAAAGGGACACTAGGGAATTTTTGAGTCATGAAACTGTTCTCTATTTTTATAATGGTGGTAGTACACGACTGTATGCATTCATCAAAACTCGTAGAACTTAGTGTACACCAAAATAATTTTTTTCTGCTATATGTAAATTATACCTCAATTAAAACAAAAACAAAAATGAAGAGAAGGAAAGTGATTACAGTATGTAAACTTATCAGAGAAGTTTGGTTATGAAGAGTAATTGAAGAGGATATGGCAGTCAACAGAGGGTTTTTTTTTTGTGTGTGTGAGGAAGATTGGCCCTGAGCTAACATCTGCCAATCCTCCTCTTTTTTTGCTGAGGAAGACTGGCCCTGGGCTAACATCCGTGCCCATCTTCCTCCACTTTATGTGGGACGCCGCCACAGCATGGTTTGCCAAGCAGTGTGTCGGTCCACGCCAGGAATCCAAACCAGCGAACCCCGGGTTTCCGCAGCGGAGCGCCGGCACTTAACCACTGCGCCACCGGGCCGGCCCCGGGGTTTTTTGTTTTTAAGGCAAATAATAGAGCATAAATTGTATGTTAAGAGTGACCCATTTGAGAAGGAGAGTTTGAAGATGTATATATGAATGAAGAAATAACAGGAGAGAGGCCAAGGTAAGAGGGATGAAATCCACTCAGCACGTGTGGAAGTGTTGGTCTTTGCAAGGAGGTACACATTTTCCGTATAAGAAGAGAATGAGGAAAAGATGCCTGTAGTTTCCAGCTAAATTTGATGGTGAGTTGGCTTCACTTTTCTCAGTGAAGTAAGATCAGCGTAAAACGGGTTTGAGGAACAAGTAGAAGGCATGACATAATTCTTGCCCCATGGCAGGAGAGTGCTCTGTCTGAAGAGATCTTGTAGGATTTCCAGCTACTGAGGGCTCATTTGAAGTTCACGATTATGAATTTGCCATGACATACTATGTTGTGTGAATCTTCCCCCTTTCCGTAGATGATTAGCTGCTGGGTGTTGCCACAAAAACGTGGATAGTGAAGTTCTTCCAGGAATGGAGTTTTGTCTGGAGAGTGTAATGGAGGAGGGAGCAAGGAGTAATTTATATTTTATTTTATACAGTAAATTATACTGAGCCAGCCCTGGTGGTCTAGTGGTTAAGATTTGGCGCTCTCACCTTGGCAGCCCTGGTTTGTTTCCTGGTCTGGGAACCAGACATCTGTCAGTTATACCATGGTGGCTGTGTGTTCCTTTCATGCTGAAAGCTATCCCACCAGTATTTCAAATACCAGCAGGGTCACCCATCGTGGACAGGTTTCAGCAGAGCTTCCAGACTAGACAAACTAGGAAGAAGGACCTGGCCACCCACTTCTGAAAAAAATTGGCCATGAAACCCTGTGAATAGCAGTGGAGCATTGTCTGATACAGTGCCGGAAGGTGAGAGGATGGAGCAAAAAGACTAGGCAGGCTTCCACTCTGCCGTGCACAGGGGCGCCAGGAGTTGAAATCAACTCGAGGGCACTAACAACAACAAAATTTACACTTTGGCCTATGGAGGGAATTTAATCAATTGAAAGTAGTGTGGAGGACAATGAATTATTGCATGTTAAGTGTTGGACAAAGATAGCAATCTTTGTTTGGCTTGTCACTCTCTATTTGTGTCTAATACAGTGCCATGCCTTTCAAATATTTGTTGAATGAACAAATGCCAGTCTCTCTTAGAGGAGAAGGGGACCATATGCTTTGATAGTCTCACCTCTCTGTCAGTTCTTATCTCTTCAGCACTCTGGGTGTGGCAACCTTTTACGTTGTGAACACTTTTGAGGGTGAGACTAGGTGGGCCTTCTTATCCCCTGGCACATGGTAGTCACTGAATAAATGTTTGTTGAATGAATGACCATGTGATCTCTGCTTGAATAGTCCTTTGTGTTGTATTAGAGTTGTCAGATTTCTTGGTTGTATTCTCCACTAAACTGTTAGCTCCAAACGGATTAAAACTATATTTTACTCATCCCTGTGTTTTCAGTGGCTGGCACAGAGCAGGCGATAAGTGAAGGATTGAGAGAACTTAATTTTTTTCAAAATACAACAGAAGCTACATCAGATAAAATCTTCCATTCAGTTAACAGTTGGAATAAGGTGGTTTCGTTACATATAAGTTATTATTTGAATGAGGAGAATGTATCTTCAGATATCCTCATCCAGTAGTTTGATATATGGCATGGCTGCTTTTATGTTGAGTTTTTGTGGATGTATTCTAACAAAGTTTATTTGGGGATTTGTTTGCTAGGAGGAGGCATCTCCCTACTCTTTGGTCAACATCTGCCTGCACGTCCTGATTGCTAACCTGGAGAAACTGTGTTCTGAAAGATCTGATGGAACACTATGCCTTCCGGAGCATTGGAGTTTCCCTCAGGAAGTAGCTGATCGATTCCTTGGGGTGATGACTTGGCAAGGTAATGATAAGGCTCCTGTATAGCATACTCTTTGAGCACATTACTATTTGAAAAGCACTTTCACATATAGTTCCTGTTTTGCTCCTCACAACAACCTGGTGGGAAATATAGAAATTATTCCCATTTTATTTGTGTGGATGTTGAGTCTCAGAGTTCTGGGATCCCTTGATGGAAATTGTCTTGCTTCTAGGCTTGCCCTGCAGAGTGATAATAGTGGAGAACTAAGTCAGGTTACCACTCATCTGTCTGCTCTCTAGCTTCTGAAATGCTGTTGCTGTAGGCTCATCTCCCATTCTTTTCATTGTGAATATGAGCCTTTAACATTTTTTCCTTTACCTTCCATTGTAGTGGGGCTTTCAAAGGGCTGTGTTTAATTTGCCATGTTACAGTTTTTTCTTAATGAAAAAATTTTTTTCTTTAGTAACAAATTATTGAGATGTAATTCACATACCATATAATTCACCCCTTTAAAGTGTACAGTTCAATGATTTTTTTTAGTATATTCACAGATTTGTGCAGCCATCATCAGAGTCAATTTTAGAATATTTTCATCACCTCAAAAAGAAACTCCTTACCCATCTCCCCTAACTCTAAGCAACCACTAATCTACTTTCTACGTCTATGGATTTGCCTTTTCTGAACATTAAATATAATTGGTATCATGCAATATGTGGCCTTTTGTGTCTGCCTTCTTTCACTCAGCAATAATATAGTCAAGGTTCATCCATTTTGCAGACTCAATCACTCCTTCATTTTTATAGCTGCATAGTATTCCGTTGTAGGAATATACCACATTTTATTCATTTATCTGCTGATGGACATTTGGGTTGTTTCTACTTTTTGGCTATTTTGAATAATGCTACCATAAAGATTCACGTACATGTTTCTGTGTGAACATATGTTTTCATTTCTCCTGGGTGTATACCTAGGAATGGAATTGCTGAGTCAAATGGTAATTCTCTGTAACTTTTTGAGGAACTTCCAAAGTGGCTGCACCATTTTACGTTCCCATCAGCAATGTTCAACAGGGGCAGTTTCTCCTCACTAAAACTTGTTATTATTTGACTTTTTGATTATAGCTATCCTGGTGGATGTAAAGTGGTATCTATCGTGGTTTTGGTTTGCATTTCCCCGATCACTGATGTTGAGCATCTTTTCATGTGCTTTTTGGCTATTTGTATGTCTGTGGAGAAGTGTCTATTCAGATCCTTTGTACATTTCTTAATTAGATTTAGGTTGTCTTTTATTATTGAGTTGTAAGAGTTCTTTATATATTCTATTTATTTATATTTTTGGTGAGGAAGATTGGCCCTGAGCTAACATCTGTGCCAGTCTTCCTCTGTTTTGTATGTGGGATGCCACTGCAGCATGGCTTGCTGAGTGGTGTGTAGGGCTGCGCCCAGGATCTGAACCCGCAAATTCTGGGCTGCTGAAGCAGTGCATGTGAGCTTAACCACTATGCCACCTTATATATTCTAGATACAAAACCCTTATCAGTTACATGGTTTGCAATTATTTTCTCACATTCTGTGGACTGTCTTTTCACTTCGTTGATAGTGTCTTTTGATTCACAAAAATTTTTAATTTTGACAAAGTCCAATTTGTGTATTTTTTCTTTTGTTGCTTATGCTTTTAAGTATCATACCTAAGAATCCATTGCCAATCCAAGGTCCTAAAAATTTACGCCTATATTTTCTTTTAAGAGTTTTGTTGTTTTCACTCTTACATTTAGGTCTTTGGTCCATTTTGAGTTAATTTTTGTATATAGTATGAGGTGAAAGGGTCCAACTTCATTCTTTTGCATGTGGCTGTACAGTTGTCCCAGCACTATTTGTTGAAAACGCTATTCTTTCCTTGTTGAGTGGTCTTGGCACTCTTATTGAAAATCAGTTGACCATAGATACATGGGGTTTATTTCTGTACTCTCAATTCTAATGCATTGATTGATATGTCTGTGGTTATGTCAGTAACACACGGTCTTGATTACTGTTGCTTTGTAGTGAGTTTTGAAGTTGGAACGTGTGAGTCTTCCAACTTCATTCTTTTTCAGGATTGTTTTGGCTATTCTAGATTCCTTATATGTCCATATGAATTTTTGAATCAGCTTGTCAGTTTCTACAAAGACTCCAGCTGGGATTCAAATAGGGATTGCATCAAATATGTGTATCAATTTGGAGAGTATTGCCATATTAACAGTATTAAGTCCTCTGATCCGTGAACATGATGTCTGTTTATTTAGATCATCTTTAATTATTTTCACCAATGTTTTGCCATCTTAACAATCTGAAATCTTTCATAAGTGTGGGATGTCTATTTATTTATTTATTTATTTATTTTTGTGTGTGTGAGGAAGATTAGCCCTGAGCTAACATCCGATGCCAGTCCTCTTCTTTTTGCTGAGGAAGATTGGCCCTGGGCTAACATCCGTGCCCATCTTCCTCTACTTTATATAACGCACCTTGACAAACGGTGCATTGGTGTGTGCGTGGGATCCAAACCCATGAACCCTGGGCTGCCGAAGCAGAGCGCGCCCACTTAACGGCTACGCCACCAGGCCGGACCCCGTGGGATGTCTGTTTATTTAAAATAGGTTTTTAATTTCTTTCAGCAGTGTTTTGTGGTTTATAAGTTTTACACTTCTTTTTACATTTCTTTTATTTCTAAGTATTTTCTTTTGATTGTACGTGGAACTGCTTTCTTTTTTTTTTTTTTTTTTAAAGATTTTATTTATTTATTTTTCCCCCAAAGCCCCAGCAGATAGTTGTCTGTCATAGCTGCACATCCTTCTAGTTGCCGAATGTGGGACGCGGCCTCAGCATGGCCAGAGGAGCGGTGCGTCGGTGCGCACCCGGGATTCGAACCCGGGCCGCCGGCAGCACAGTGCGCGCACTTAACCGCCAAGCCACGGGGCCGGCCCTGGAACTGCTTTCTTAATTTCAGTTTTGGATTGTTTTTAGTGTACAGAAATACAATTGATCTTTTGGGTTGATTGTATATCCTGCAAGCTTTCTGAACTCGTGTATTAGTTCTAATAGTTGTTTAGTGGATTCCTTAGAATTTTCTATATACAATATCATGTCATCTGCAGATGGGGATAGTTTAACTTCTTCCTTTCCAATTTGGAGGTCTTTTATTTCTTGTCCAGTTTCCCTTGTTAGAACCTCCAATACAGTGTTGAAGTATTGAACATTGAAGTTGAAGTGTTGAAGCAGACGTCCTTGTTTTTTCCTTATCTTAGGGGGCAAGCATCTAGTTTTTCACCATTCAGTATGAAGAAGTTAGCTTTGGGTGTGTTGTAGCTGCGCTTAACAGGCTGAGGAGGTTCCCTTCTATTTTAGTTTATTGAATGTTTTCATCAGGAAAAGGGTGTTGGCTTTTTCTGCCTCTACTGAAATGCTCAGGTGGGTTTTGTTTTTTATTCTATTAATATGATAGATTACATTAATTGCTTTTTGGATGTTAATTCCAACCTTGCTTTTCTGGGATAAATTTCACTTGGTCATGGTGTGTAATTCTTTTTGTGTGTTGCTAGAATAGGTTTGCTGATATTTTGATGAGAACTTTTGCATGCATTATTTTAAGGGATATTGGTCTGTAATATTCCATTCTTGTGATGTCTTTATCTGGGTTTAGCATGAGGATAATACTGGTCTCAATGAGTTGAGCAGTGGTCCCTCTTCTTCTGTTTTTTTGGGACAGTTTGTGAAAAATTGGTATGTATTCTTTAAATGTTTGGTAGAATTCACCAGTGAAGCCCGCTTGGCCTTTTTGTGTGGGTAGTTTTTTTTTTTTTTTTTTTTAAATTATTTATTTATTTCTTTTCCCCAAAGCCCCAGTAGATAGTTGTACGTCATAGTTGCACAGCCTTCTAGTTGCTGTATGTGGGACGCTGCCCCAGCATGGCCGGAGAAGCAGTGCGTCAGTGCGCGCCCGGGATCCGAACCCCGGGCCGCCAGCAGTGGAAGCGCGCGCACCTAACTGCCAAGCCACGGGGCTGGCCCCTGTGTGGGTAGTTTTTTGATGGTGAGTTCAGTCTGTTTACTTGTTATAGGTCTACTCATATTGTCTATTTCTTCTTGGGTAGTTTTGGTAGTTTGCGTTATTCTGTAAATTTGTCCATTTCATTTACGTTATGTAATTTATCAGCATACAGTTGTTCATAGTATCCTTTTATAATCCATTTTATTTCTGCAAGGTCAGTAGTTATATCTCTTCTTTCATTTCTCATTCTAGTAATTTGAGTTCTTGCTTTTTTTCTTGGTCAGTGGAGTCACAGGTTTATCAATTTTGTTGATCTTTTGAAAGAACCAGCTTTTGGTTTCATTCACTTTTTTTTTCTTTATTGTCTTGTCTTTCCTCCATTTCATTAATTTCCATCTAATCTTTATCATTTCCTTCCTCCTACTGACTTTGTTTAGTTTGCTTTTCTTTTTCCTGTGTCTTAAGATAGAAGTTTAGGTTACTGATTTGAGATTTTTTTTTTTTAAATATATGTAATAAGAGCTATAAATGTCCCTCAAGCACTGCTTTAGCTGCATCCCATAAGTTTTTGTATGTTGTCTTCATTTTTCATTCATCTCAAATTATTTTCTAATTTCCTGTTTGATTTTTTTCTTTGACCTATTGGTTTTTTTTGTGAGGAGATCAGCCCTGTGCTAACATCTGCCAATCCTCCTCTTTTTTTTTTTTTTTCCTGAGGAAGGCTGGCCCTGGGCTAACATCCATGCCCCTCTTCCTGCACTTTATGTAGGACACCACTGCAGCATGGCTTGCCAAGCAGTGCGTCGGTGCGCACCCGGGACCCGAACAGGTGAACCCCGGGCCGTGGCATTGGAGCTCACGCACTTAACTGCTTGCGCCACCAGGCCAGCCCCGACCCATTGGTTTTTTGAGTGTATTGTTTAATTTCCACATACTTGTGCTTTTCCCAGATTAACTTTGTTATTGACTTTTGTGTGTGTGTGTGTGTGAGGGATATTGGCTGTGAGCTAACATCCATT